GCATCCTCAAACTTCTGGGTTCAAGCATTCTTCCTGTCCAGTATCCCCAGTCACTGGGACTACAGGAACACACCACCACACCCAGCTAATTTTTGTATATTTCATAGAGATGGGATCTTGCTATGCTGCTCAGGCTGGTTGCAAACTTCTGTCCTCAAGCAGTCTTCCCACCTTGGCTTCCCAAAGTGCTGGAATTATAGGCATAAGCTACTGTGCCCAGCCTAGTCTGAATACTTATAAACTACCCAAATTGTTTAGTTTGGTTGAAATAATGTGACAACTTCCTGTTATTCTCTTCACTCAAGTTCTTAATGGAGTTTTAAAACTTGTATCGCTTATGGTATAGCTTTTTGCTCCTTGCCTTTTGGAAATTGAAAGGAAGCCCTGAGAAGGAAACATTGTACCATAAGAAAATGGTTGCTTATACCACAATTGCAATCGTGTATATTAGGGGAGAGGTAGAAATTGGACAAAATCTACATGTTTTGAGAGTTCATTGTTTTGTCTACCTATAGCTAATAGATGTAAAAAAGGGAAAAACCTGTAAATTGTAGGGAAATGTCAGAGGAGATAACCTTTCATATCAGTCTTCTGGAAGTGAAAATGGCACAGTATTAGTTCCATGGTCATTAGAAAACTGATATTTTGAAATAGAATACATGTTTTCTCGTATTCTAATTAGAGAAATTTATCATGTTTAGGATGTAGGCAGCCAATCTAATGATATTCCAAATTGAATATGCAGAAAAGAAGATACCCAGTTATTTAGCCATGCATGTAATGGTTATGTATGTTGTTGTGTTATATAATTTTCTTCACTTATTTAAAAAGCTTTTCTTGAATTTATTATATATAGGCCTAGCCATAGTCTTTCACAGTGCAGACCACCTTAACTGCATGTGTTTATTTAGTGAACAATTTTTACTAGGTGCTGGGCTAGAACATAGAGGGTCCTTGCCCTCAAGGAGTTCATAGCCTGATAGAGGGGAGGAGGGAAACAACTGAGGGCAATAGAGCAAAGCAGGTATTACCCCAGACATCTGAGCAGAGTATGAAGGCAGAAGCATTCCAGTTGGAGGTACTGTCTGGATAGGAGAGATAACCCTTGAGCTGAATTTTTTATGTATGTATTTGTTTGTTTATTTTTTCCATTCCTCACAATGCATTTATTTTAGTAATTCCATTTTGTCAGTTCTTAGCATGATTTTCATACACATAATCACATCCAAAACAAGTTCAAAAATTTAAATTGTAAACATTCACATCATATGCAGAAATATTTTAATTGGTGTATTAAGTTTCAAATGCAGAAGATAATATAAATGAGAACATGTATTCTAAATTGTGTAGTGAGCATTGTTTATTAATTAATATTTCTACAATGTTAAATAAGAGACAAACCCATGTCAAATTTTAGGTAAAATGTTAAACAGAAAGAAGTCCATTAACAAAAGAATATCTTATAATAAAGAACATTAGGTTTTTTTTCATCTATTATGATACAAAAATATAAAGGGTAAATGGCATCTTTGTTGACTTACTGTGTGAGAAATGCAACTGGAGTAAAGAATATTTCCTTACCACAAATAATTTCCAGGACTATATATGAAATAGCAGTAATGGCCTGGAAAAGAGTAAGATGTTTTATGAGTTGTCTCTTTAAACCCCCCTGCCACACACTCTTTTTGGGACTTAAAACTTGCATCCCTGCCAAAGGCCAGTAATCAGAGGGGCAGGGGAGTGTCCTTTGTTCTTTGTACCACAGGAGATGGCTCAACAGAATTGTTCAGGCAGAGGTCACAAGATTGTGCAGGAGATGGGGTAAATCAGGACCATTAACTATAGTTAAAAAGCAATAGCCCCAACCTGAAAACTCCTTTACAAAGCTCTGTATTTCTGCTTATAGATAGGACAATGGTACTTTAAGACGAGAGTCTCCTGTCCTCTTCATTTGCTGGCAAATTAATAAACTTCTCTTTCTTTTTCCTTAAACGACTTGTCCTGGTTCTTCTGATGTGACCTCAGGGTTAAGTGCCGAACTTTCGGTAACACATACATATTTCTTTTAGAAATACTTGTTTAAACAAATCTCCCTCCACTTTTTTGTATTAAGAAAAACCATTCCATGTGATTTTTTTAAAAAACACATATCTAGGTAGAATAGTACTCTACCCTATTTGAGTGAACAGTCTTAAACTATGAAGTGTGTAATATTTAATTCCCTAAGTTGAGTTAATTTAATTAGAAGTTCCTGGTATTGTATAAT